TGATTGCGCGCATTGCCCTTATGGGAGGGGCTTGCCTTAAAATTGTGACGCGCGAGGAAGTAATCCTGTTCATGGCTAGCAGAACAAAAATGTTGTGGACAAAGAGTTAGGGATGAGGATAAAAACTATCTGCAAAGCAAAATTAGTTTCTCTGTTGACTCAGAACATAGGCCTCATTCTGTGAGAGAGAGAGAGATGGATGACTGTTGCCATCCTCCTATCTCGCTCTTCGTAGATATCTCCTTCATCTTCCCCTCCCTCTCTCCCTTTCATCTTCCTCACTCATCTCCTGACTGCCTGGGACAGCAATACCATACCCACTGGTAGAGACACTAGTAAAGTGATTGTGAACGTAATGGCCACAGAACCTCCAGTTGATAGAGTTCCACTAGCTTGCTCAGCTGTGCATTAGTGCAATGAACTGTGAAATGTAAGTGTTGCGTGGACCACACAGGATATTTTCATCAGGCGTGGAAAGTTTAGTTGAAGATATAATTACTCACCATATTATTGTAGGACAGAGAGAGTGAACATTCTCTGATCTTATTCAATGGTTTCACAGCATTACTGACCTGACTCTGTCTCCATGACAGAGAGAGTGAATGTCCCCTGAACTCCACTGGCAGAGCAGACATAGCTACACACCACTGTCCTCTACACTTGCTCAGGAGGATGGTAACTGTCACATGCAGTCATCCAACCCCGCTAGGGTAATATTGGAATAATCTCTTGCATCTTGTATCTTGTATGTAAATCCTAAGTGTCTAGTAATGTATGTAGCTAGCCATGTTTTAGGAGAAAGGTAAATGCTATGGTAAAGAAGGCTTGTGTGTGCAGTAACCTGGAGACTATTATGCAAGTGCAAAGTATGATATAATTTCGCTGCCCTTGGTTCAGTAAATTGAATTGAAGAGTAGCTAATTGACGAGATGATTTACTGTACAATGTACACTGAATGAAACTACATAACTATAATACTGTAATGGTATAATACACAGTTCACCACCTTCCCTCTACTACCTCTGAGTGGAGACCTGGCCATATGCCTGGTTCTCAGAGAGAGGAATGGCAGTCTCCACTGAATGAACTGGCTCTCATAAAGGCTGCTACAAACTCCTCTTTCTTCTTCTTCTTCCTCTCTCCTCTTTCTCCTCCTCTACGAATTGCAAACAATGTGCCACAGGAACCAATGACCACACCCACTGGTAGGGACACCAGTACAGAGATGATTGTGTTATAGCCACAGCAACTCCAGTTGATATACTCTCCTTTCTCTTCTCTAGTGTCAGTACAAGTGCTTGTGACTGGCAGTAGGCAGATCTAGTAGGTAGGATTAATGGAAATTATTGTTTTAGCTTGGTGCATAGCTAACTATATAGCTACACACGCACTCACATTGTACGACTACTGTCACAGTTGTGCTGGTAGAGTTGTCAAGGTTTGGAGGAAAAGTTCGACAGGTATAGCTCCCAGCCTGAGACCTCATGATGTTGGGGATATTCAGTATTCCAGATGAAGACACCATCTGGCCATCTTTGTCGAACCACTGCGCAGACGGTTCTCGGTTGGAGTTTGTGCTGTCACAGGAGAGGGACAGTGTGCCTCCCTCATTGACTGTAGTTGCTCCCGTGATTATCGGAGGTAGATACACTATACAATACAATACCATTTGAACATAACACTTACACAAACATCGGAGACATACCGTCCAAGAAAACTGAAGCCTGTCTTACAGCCCCTGAGCCACTAACACACCGCAAAGTCAGGGCAGTGGATGCCTGGAACGTCATGCTAGTATCATCAACCACCAGAACTCCACCATCCAGGCTTGTGATTGGTGAGTTTCCAATTAGGAAAGTGGTGGTGGCTGTGTCTACTACTCCATCGACAACACACTCCACACAGACAGTTCCTAGTGGAATATCTATCTGAATCTGCACCGTGGCTCTGCAGTCATCCACACTCTGAGAGAGAGCTGGAAAAAAAGATCTCAATTTTATAGGTACAAGTGGAAAAATCATTTCTTCAAAATGAAAGGGGGATATAGGGATGGCTTGAAGCACCAAAAAGGAAGAAACAAGGGGTCATTACACAGCAAAGATGCACAAAGCTACATGACACCATCCCTATATCTTTGTCTCATATTAAACTTTACTTCAAGGTAAACTGTTGCAGAATGGAAATGACGGAGACGGCAAGCGCGGCTCTTTCCCAATTAGGGAGGAAAATGTCAGCAGGGCGAGATTGGTTGTGAACAATAACACAAAGATATAGGGATGGTGTCATGTAGCTTTGTGCATCTTTGCTGTGTAATGACCCCTTGTTTCTTCCTTTTTGGTGCTTCAAGCCATCCCTATATCCCCCTTTCATTTTGAAGAAATGATTTTTCCACTTGTTTCCACTATTTTTCATGCCTTATGACAACACTGCATTTTCAGTCACTCTGATGTTCATGGGTGTTGTAGAGATAACTGTTGAAAGCAGAAGCTAATGGGCTGCTCATACCTGAAGCAGGGTGTATGTGTAGTGTCTCCAACAAGGATGCAATTAGATTGTGGCACATATGGTGGGGTGGTTTCATAGGCAGGCTTCAGTAATCAGACTACAATGATAGCTATAACCTGGGGGACAAACAATGAAGGCGCTGTGCAAGGCTCGCGTAACACGGCGCACACTGCCAAGTTGCTCCTCGTGCAAATCAACAGCAAAACGCAAGTTAGCCACTTACAAAGTGTACACTGACTTACAGAAGGCACTGGAAGATCGTGGATCAGGCAAAATACGCGCGCACCGCATTGGAAACGCCCTCCTCGGCGCATGCGGCTCACTGATGCTGAGTTAGCAGAAAATGGCGTTGTCCAGTGACTACCGTGGAAGAGCTCAACGATCTACCTTAGTGACTTGCGGCAAGAAACAAGCGATCGCTTGATATGCGTGCACACCTCCGGAAAATTTGGAGACGTTCTGTGAAAAAATCAACGCTTCAACTGCTTCCGGTAAGGAGCTAGCGGGTCTGAAGAAGAAGAAGAAGAAGAATATGATGCATTATGATGACACGAAAATCGCGAAATCGCGTAAGAGCGAATTCTCTGGTGGGGAACTGAGGGCACGTAGGAAGTCTTTGGGCATATGTATAGCTAGGTATTGGCCTCTAGACTATTGCTAGTGATTTTGAAGCCATGGTGAGTCATTCTCGCTGAGTTTTGAGGCGTTTTGTACGCGGATCACGTGAGATTTCACTCGTGTCATCCCTATATAGAGCGTCTACCGACGCTCTGATAGCTACTACTTTGTGGGGTTCAGTGGCGCCTGATAATCGAGGCTCGCGATTGCCGACAATTGACGACCACTAGCATCTCTCAACTCACCGCTGCTAAAAAAGCGAACATCCCGCAGCGAAGAATAGAAGTGGAAAACTCATTAATTTTGTCAGAGTGTTTCTTCCTCCCCAGAAACTAATTGTGGTATAGCTATACTCAGTGCCTAGCGCGTCCGTACTTAGTATATCGATCGTTTACTCGGAAAAATCAGTTCGATTTCGATTTTTCGCTCAAATCGATTTCGTAATCGATCTTGCGAACCACTCTTCAGTGTGTGATGCCTCTACGAACTCCGCGGACTACGATTCGCTGTACTGCGATCTGATTGGAGATCGAGATCTAGCAGTGAGACAAAACGCGTGCCTCGCGGGAAAACGGGGTGTTCACACGAAGTCGAGACACCAATCAATGTCGCGTGCATTCGTAGTCCGCGGAGTTTTGTAGCACTGAAGAGTGGTTCGCGAGATGGATTACGATTTGAGTGAAAGATCGTTCACGAAATCGATTTGAGCGAAAAATCGAGTGAAAGATCGTTTACGAAATCGAGTAAAAGGAGGATTAATTTTTCAGAGTAAAAGATCGATTTAGAGAACGACCAAAAATCGAGTGTAGTTATGATTTATACGGGAGACTTGTCAAAAAGTATCTGCTGATGTAGTTGCTGGCCCATTGGAAAAGTGATTGTATTCAAGAGTAGCTGATTTATTACAACACACTAAATGAAACTACACACGGTATGTAATGTTATTCTACACAGTTCACCACCTCCCTCTACTACCTCTGAGTGGAGACCTGGCCATATGCCTGGTTCTCAGAGAGAGGAATGGCAGTCTCCACTGAATGAACTGGCTCCTCATAGATGGCTGCTACAAGCTCCTCTCTCTTCTTCTTCTTCTTCCTCTCTCCTCTTTCTCCTCCTCTACGAATTGCAAACAATGTACCCACAGGAACCAATGACCACACCCACTGGTAGGGACACCAGTACAGAGATGGTCAGTGTTATAGCCACAGCAACTCCAGTTGATATACTCTCCTTCTCTTCTCTAGTGTCAGTACAAGTGCTTGTACTGGCAGTAGGCAGATCTAGTAAGTAGGACTAATGGCAATGATTGTTGCATTGTATCTATAGCTACATACCACCTTCAATGTTTAGCTGGGGAACTGTGAAACAGTATTGCTGGCCATCTGCCAGAGGAAGAGTAGTGACATTAATAGGCAGGATGACAGGGGTTCCAGGGAGGATGTTGGCTGTCACGTTCTGCTGAGGAAGACACGTCTCTCCACTGTTCTCTCTCACTCCAAACGACAGCCCCACTGTGTAGGGGACACTGCGACAGAGAGGGTTCAGACTGACTACGACTGCAGGTCCTCCAGCTGGACTCTCTCCCTCCTCCACCTCCACTGGGGCAGCTAATAGAGAGACACCATTCATATCAAAACTCGTTCACAGTGTAAAGTTCTTTCTGAAGTTGCTAAACACACACTTAAAGGCTGAAGCTCACAGTTAAAGATGATGGATACAGGTTGAGAAGACCCGATATCATTAGAGAGAGTGATAGAGATGTTGTAGTTGCTGCAGTCATTGGTAATGGTCAGCAGTACAACTGGTGTTAGGTGTTGAGAGAAGAGAGCATATGGTCCCTCCTGGAGTCAGGTCCACTGTTGTCATCTCCTCTCCTGGATACACCACCCCCACCTCCCTCTCTCCCTCCTAGAATAACATTGCCAACATGTTGTGTGCATGTGTACGCAATCAACCACTAGCTGACCGTCCAATTGAGTACAACAGGTCTACCACCACTCAGAGGAACATCGCAGTACATGACAAGAGACTGTACTGTAGGCTGAGGTGGAACTGAAATAAACACCAGCATTGGCATCATACCAAATAAGTGCTTCGTATTATCTCTTATGAATTCCACAAACCTCTGGCCTCAATGAAGACAGTGGTGGTGGCAGGCTGACTGGAGAGACCACAAGAGTTGATGGCAGTCACTGACACACTGTAGCTGGTGTTGAACTGTGGTACAGTAATGGTGGCAGTGAAGACATCTCCACTATCATCATGGCTGACAGTCTGGGTCATCCCACCATCAACAGTCACTGTATATTCACTGATGGTCACTCCACTGCCTCCAGTCATGGCTGGAGACTCCCCACTGCACCACTGCTGATGTCTCAGTGTTGGCTGATACAACCTGACTCAGAGACTCTGGTGGACCTGGTGGGTCTGCAGTGATGTATAATGTTCAATGGTGGGTCTTGTATCACATTAAAGTGCTGTATACCTGTGGCTATTGGACATGATGCCTCATCTGTCGACATGACACAGTTCTAGCATCACATATGATGGGATTGCCACCCAACAGTGAGGCTCTCTCGATAGCCAGTGTTAGTGTGTAGTTTACTAGTCCTCCATCCACTACTGCATCGTGAGACTGTACAGTCACTCCATCTGGTAGAGAGTAGCTCCAACTACTTCAGTCATGTTGGTACTAGTGACTTGCACTCCCTCTCCAGAGGGTAGTGTTACTCTGGCAGCAGCCGAAGTACTTTCAGTGACAGTACAAGTGAAGAGAAGAGGGTCATTTGGACACACCATCTGCCCAGCACATCTCGGGTCATTGAAACTAGCCACTGCTGACACTTGAGCTTCAGCTGTTACAACTGTATACAAATTTATATATTTCCCATGAACATAATGGAGCAAAACGATAGCTGAAACAGTTCTGTCAGAGAGTAATAAGTGTGTAAGTATCATATGAAGTAGAACTCACTGAAGACAACGCTGATAGCGA